CTCGACTTGTTCAGGATTCTCTTCAACAAAACAACGTGAATGTCATCCCCTGGCCTGCTGGCTCCCCTGATCTCTCACCAATCGAGCACATGTGGGATGAGATGGATCGACGCCTTTGACGTCAACCACGTGTTCCACAGACACTCCAGGAACTTCGAAACATGCTCCAGCAGATATGGACAGATATCCCACAGGACTTTGTGCGACGCCTGGTCCATTCCATGAGACGAAGATGTGTTGCTTACATCGCAACCAGAGGTGGACACACACGCTATTGATTTGTAAATTGACATTTTAGCATGTTCATGTTGTTTTTTTTGTTAATGAAATCACGCATTTTCTGAAGTCGGTATGGCAAATTAAACCATTTGAACACTTAGAGGAGTCTTTTATCTGTTGCAAACCGAAATTGTTTCAGATTTGGTAAAAAACATAACTTTGCATTAAATCTTATTCAATGTCACAGGAACGTTTGTTGTTCGGTATATTTTATATCAAATAATTATTGGATAAATGAATACACGACTGAGAAAAAATGTCAGTTTAACGAACACAAAGGTTTCTCGAGAAAAGGCGGGTTTTAAAACTGATATGTTGCGGGAAATAAATAATATTTGTTTGTTTGTTGCTCTATGCCGCAGTCTAGAACATTCAAGTAATATGAAGACCACATGTAAATGATCGAGTCTGAGGTAGACAACCAAGTGGACGATATTGTGAGCAACGTTCCGTCGGAGTGTGAGACAACACGCAGAGCACTAAGTCACAGAGTTGGATACATATTCTGTAACCGGTATCCTCACAGGGTGAAAACAAATTGGTAAGCACAAGTTTGTGGTCGATACCAGGGACCACTTACACAAAGCGATCTTACTGCTACGACTATTGTAAACCTATGTTAAAGTATGGGAGTTACGATCATCTTAACTTTGTGCAAGTGGGCCCTGGTGGATATTGTTTTCGAAATGTTGAATATCAGCCTTTACATTAGGCCTAATTTGAAATGAGGGTTTCAGCTGTACTACAACAATGAAAGAAACGCGTCCAGTTCATGCGTGAAGTTGAAGTAGATTCTTGCCATAAAAAAATGGAATCGTCCTTTGCTGGGTCCATCAACACCCAATTGTATGGTCTATGGCGAGTGTGGCAGATACCCATACATAAACTCCCAAATTAGATGCTTGAAATCCTGGTTTAATATTCTTGGAATGCATGAACGCCGAATCCCCAAACTTGCTTATAATATGCTTGTACATTTAGACGACATGGGCGAAGTAACATGGGCGTCACATATTAGAAACCTCTTATTTTCTCATGGCTACGGCTTTGTATGGTTAAACCAAACATTTGATGATGTTAAACTCTTTTTGAAACAAGTTCATGAACAATCTACACATATGTTTTACCGGGGATAGCATTCCACTCTAGAAAACAGTTCAATGTATGACTTTTATAGAACTTTTAAGAGAAAAATACTTATCTACATTAACATCAAGAACCCATCTACGTCCACTTATTCAATTAAGGCTCGGATTGTTAGATCTCGGGATAAATGAAGGAAGAAAAATGTCCACTGAAAAGTCGAAGAGGTTTTGCCGTTATATCATTCAGCTATAGAAAATGAAATTCATTTTACTTTTGTATGTCCTCATTATTGTGATCTAAGATACAAGTTTATACCAGAACGCTATCTGTCAAATTATCCTGCACCTGCTTTTATTTCTCTTCTTTCTTCAAAAGACGATACAGTCATATTTAAACTGGCTATATATGTTAAAAATGCTATTTCCCTCAGAAACAAACTGTTAAACATGAGTACATATCCAAATATGTAAAACTACTTATTTGTAACTCTTGTGTATATGGGCCGGAGGCCTTACATGCAACAAATATCTTTGACTTTGGCTACTAACTAGACATCTTTGGAACAATCCGGATCTGTAGAGCTACTCTATTACTTCTTCATCTGATGTCAACTACGTGTGTGAAAAACTGTCAATATTGTCAACATGTTCATAAAATAGTCAGTTGTCTCCTTTCATCTGTGGTTAACATAAAGAGTAACATTCTTCTTACTAAAATGACACCCACTAAAATGACGCGGCCGGGAAATCTTTTGTAAAAAACAACCTTGTTCCGTAAAAGAAACAGGAAAAAATAATTTCTCTTCAGGTCTTACCACCAAATATATATTGTCGACTGGACAGACCACACACGACCATCAAACGACCCCAGTTAAAAATCAGTTTGTCGTGCTAGTGTTATGCTGCATGTCTTTTGTGGTTTTACATGTACATGTAAATATGTTTTATATTATATCTGTTGATATTTAAAAGGGGCCAGGCTTCGACTACTACAGGCCCAGCAAAGGACTATGTAGGATAAGGACCCTGTCTGGCCCACTGGACATTTTTAAGTTAAAGTGGAAATCTTAGGACATGTATGAAGAGATCAGACATGTTCAAATTGCTGACAACTAGCCCTTTTGTCTCTCTTGCAAGTTTTGTACTTATGAACATCAGCGTGGGCATGAGACTTGTCTCATGTTCAAATACTAGAAGAACGCATCATATAAACCTCTCGAATCATCTTTTGGACACTGTGTATCTTTACATGTGCATTTAGTGTTGTCAGTTTAAGTCCCACACTTCCCAACTCGTCCTTGTTTCAAATCGTTCATACACCACTTCCCCCTCCTTCTAACATAAATCTTATGATGACCACACATCCAACAGTTAACCTGTACTCCAATGACATACTGTAAACTACGGTAAAAACGAGCTCAAAGGGACCACTCATTTTAGTTCGTTATAACCGTAGTTCGGTATAAGCAAATGTACGGAATATATACAGCAAATAGACACGACAAAAAATAGTTCGTTATAACCGCCATTTCGTTATAAGCGTGTTCGTTATAAACGTAGTTTACTGTATCTACAAGGCCTCGTGTCACACAGGACGCAAATTACGAGGTCTTGTACTGGGAGAAGTCACCCTTTAACCCTTTCAATTATATTGTGGAGCTCCTTTACCGCTATACAAAATACAAAGCAACCATTGTATACAACCATTGATTCGTCTCTAGAAGGGTACTTACAAAGTCACATTTTGTAACTATATTTGTAACATTTTGTCTCTGTTATCTATTGTACCAACTTCGATATGAACTTAGATTTACTATTATTCCTTTGTACAATGTGATTTTAAATACCAATTAAAACAAGAGAAAAGGGTAGTTCAACAGCGGTACTTTTATGTAATCAAAATACCAGTATTTCAGTTATATCAAGTACAATTTCTTATGGTAACTGAAATGGGTACAATGTGAGACAGTGTGATATTCATTCATCGAGGTGACATGACATTTCGTTTCTGTAGGTGGTGTCCAGTTCCACCGCCCTACCTCAATCGGAATGCGATGATTACATTCTAAAATGTGAAACATATATCCTTATTTCTTATAAAAAAGAAAGCACAATCTCATTAAAGTCATATCTTAGTTCTAAACAAAGTTTAGCGGTAGCGAGAACCAAGATATGATTTTAAAGAGATTGGATGAAAGCATGTCTCCAGTTTCAAATCACTTTTAAATGTTTATATATGGTACACGTTGAAGATGAATCAACGGCAGACACCCATGGTTAAAAAAACTGGTCACCTAAAAAAAGAAAGGAAAAGAAAAGACATTATACAAATTCTATTTTGTTATAATAATTATTAATAATAACCTTTATTGGAACTGGCCTAGCCCATGCAGTACACGGTTAGAGTGTTCGCTCCTTAAAGGGGGCCAGGCTTGGACTGATATCCCCATACTTCTGATCCATATAACAGGATGGGTTGGATTTGGGCATCAGTTACAACGCATTAGTAGTTTTAAACGTCCATAGTTGTTAATCATTAATAATTCACACCCAATAAAACAGCAACCACATCGTGGATGGAAGATAGCGCCTAACGAATTCACTTAGTATTTGTAATACATACAAAGTTGATATAAATCGACTACATATTTTGTATACATTATCGGAATGTGGTCAAAGGGAAGCAACTCTTACGTTCTTACCTCTTACGGCAAGTGTGGGTTGCTGAAGACCTATTCTAACCCGGATATTCACGGGTTCGGCTATATGTAATTGCATCTGTTTATTTTAAGAATTTACCAGATGTCTCCAGATTCAGGAAACACATTTGTTCAACACCATTTGCATACCCGTGCTAATTCTGAATTCTGGGTTAGAATTGGTTTCCAAGAAACCATGCTGGTCCTCAAAGGTCGCTTGGGGGTCAGGCTGGATGACTCGGTTGATTGCGTGTCATTACACCCGGACGGTGTTCGTAATATCAGTCACTGGATTGTCTGGTCAAGATTATTTACAGACCGACATCATATATCTGGAATATTGGGGAAAACGGCGTTAAACAACAAACAAACTATCTTTGTCGCCAAGCAAGGGAAAATAATGGAGTCATTGATAGTGTTTTTTCGCTCAAAATGCATGTGATAGAAAATGCATATAAGTACATAATAAATAAGTCAAATCAATATGCATTTCTTTGTGTCGAAGTTCAATTGTTTGTTGATGTTTTATAAATGAGGTTTGGCACATATGTAAATGTCACTCTGTGATTCATACCTTTTAGAACGCCTTAAAGATGCAATTATATTTCTCGTAAAAGGGAATCGTTACAATTTTAACAGTCAGAAGGTAAAACAAATATTTTACTTGACGAGAAGAGATATGCTACAGCGGTTTTTAGGAGTTCGAGTTTTTCCTTTTACAACGTAATTTAGTAAAATTAATAAATAAAACGGAAACAATTATTTATCTAACATATAGAATTAGTTGTGAGTCTTCTACTATTCATCCTAGTAACGATGGGCGGGGTTTAGATCAGCCAATGAAAAAAAATGTAGTCATTGACGTCGTGACTGTCATGCCATCTCAACCAATCAGCACTGAGTTGCTATGACGTCACGTCATTGTCGTGGGGCCCGCTCATTTCCATTGCGACTCACCAGCTGATAGGAAGCCTTTACGTGGCGGGATTTTCAAAATGAGTACTCATGACATGGATCAAAAGCCGGAGCCTGACCGCAAGCCGAGGATACTAGATGAAACAGCGTTTCAAAGATTCAGCATTGGCTCAAAGTAAGTGACAACATTTCTTATTTCATACAACTATGCCTTGAAGCTAGAGTTTTGTCATCTCTTCAGCGTTACTGAAATATCATTGAACTAGAGTCTATTACATTTGGTGCATCTAAACAGCTCTTGCTCATTTGGTGTTTTATTCCTGCCTCAATTGTCTCCAGTTCACTGAAGACAATGGCCCAGTTCTTGGAAGCTCGGAGACAAATGGAGGCGCAAGTTTCCGTTCTCATGTCCGATTTTGTTGATGGGTGGAAGAAAACACTGCACAAGACCGTCGGTAAGATGGACAATGCCGATCTTGACATTTTATGCAGATAATTGTTCCCTTTCATTGGAAATTGTTTCATTTTACCAGTACTTGTCTTAAAGGAGATATATTTATTATATAGGATCGTATATGTATAATTCAACATTTAAGAATTTCTTCCATTTTATTGAACTAGTTTTTAAGACTACCTAATCTAAGGGGAAATAACTCTATGTGTAAAAGGGGAGACTATCCTCAACCTGCGATAATATCCTATTCTTAACGCTGGCATCATTGTCACGCAGATATTGAGTATGGAACAATGAGACACCTATGGCAGCAGATCATTGCTGAGAATCTGGAGACTGCACATATTCACGATCGTGTGAAGAATGAGCTCGGACGCTATGACGGTCCTCTTGAAAACTTGCGTTCGTAAGTAGAAACTCATAAAATAGCCCTAGTGTCAATCGAACTTGTGGCACATGTTCTTCGTAGTATCATCGGCCATTACAGTGAATCACTACAGTGAAAGTTGTTAAACATGGTTAAGATTCACCTGACTTCCTGCCATTATTTAAGTATTCAATGTTTTCATAATTGAAGAACATTTGGTTCCGACGTAACTATGAACTATGAAAGGTTCTTTTCTAGAACTGATTTATTCACATAAAAGGTTAATATACTGGCCAACAGACAGTCCTAGCAGTCATCCATGCAAAAACCATTACGTTTGTCTTCTCATCTTATGATGCTGATCAACTAAATAGTTCAGTCAGTGTTTCTAGTCTAGAAATGGGCAGAAATTGATAATTGTTTGTAACAAACAATTGTAGTATTTCTTTAGACTCCTAGATACCACACTTAGAGGCCTTAGGGGGCCTATTCACAGAATAATGTAGCAAATTGTCCAGAAGTTACCAAAACCCATGGACAGATGCAATAACCGTTTTTTCTTTTTAACCAAAAGTGATAATAAAAAGAACTCAATAGTTGTGATGTTAAAAGTCTGTGGTACAAAATTTTAATTGTCATGTACTGCTGTAATGAACTTGATTCAATGTTTCTGTTATAGCTACATGAGGGCACCAATCCACCAGAAAGCTGAGGAGATTCTTGAGTACTACAAAGACACTCAAGACAGGCACAAGATCATCCTGGAGAGCATCAGCACAGCCAAAAGGGTATGCAAGTTTCCAAAATAGTAACTGTAGAAATGTTCCCACATAAACGGGAAATCAAGAACCACAAATGTTAATATGTTTTTTAGATCAGAATCATTGTTTATGTGCACATTACTTTTTTCTTATTCATTTACTATGTAAAATGTGAAACATGCTTTAGCGTTATCCATTAAAATGTGCTCCTATCTACAGGACTAACATCAACACATCCTTTCAGTTTTAGTAAAAATCAAGTGTAATCAGTGTTATCATTTTTCTACAGATTTATCATGAAAGGATGAGGAGACTTGAAGATGCCAAGGAAGAGATGGAGCGAAAGAAATATCGCAGCAAGTCTTCAAAAAAGTATCGTGAGCTTGACTGCAGGATACTTCGTCTTCAAGGTGATGTTGAGAGAGGCCGCTTACAGTACCTAGAGCGTCTGAATCAAGAGAAAGAAGAAAGACCTCTCTATCTCAAAGTTAGTTAAATATTTGTTTATAACTAGTTTTCACGTTTTAATATTTTTTTCCATCTAAGATATTCAGCACTCAACTTAACTGGTGGGTATTTGGCGCTCATAGCTTCAGAGAGATGAGAACCTGCTATTGTTGTACCTCTATTAAAAATCTTGCAATTCCATTGGTTAATCCGTACAATGTGAGGAAACTATGCATTTCAATGCAGACCCTCAAATTTTGTGACTGTCATGTCACATGATCAGTATTGACCTGTCACGTAATGAATATTGATTCATCTGCTAGAAAACAAGATGGCATCTGGTACTAACTTTCATGGCTCGTAACTAGGTTAATGTAATGAAACAGAGGATGTTTTTTTAAAGGCTTCATAAACCTTAAAGTGAATTTCGGTGGAGCAAAACAAATGTTTACTCTTGACATGGTCAATTTGCGAAAACAATGGCCCTCGGACCTGACCCCTTTGGCAGTCTGATTGGACCTCGTCCAGTGGCCTAGGTCAGGGGCGGGGTCCTTTTTTCACATATTGACTTCGTCAAGAGCAATTATTTGTATATTATTTAAAGTCTTTGGCCATGTGGGTCAGTAAACAGTCTTTACTCATGTACATGATATGTAGTTTGCTAGTGGGGTAAAAAGAGCCATTCTTTTCTACATTAGAAGCTAGAACTGTGCTATAGCATATTATCCCAGTCTGAAACTAATGCCACTGTTTCATTACTCAAGTCTAATTAAATTTGTTTTATCTGGTAGCCATAAGTTAGGAAAAAATCTACTGATCTGGAAGGACAAATTCAGGCTAGTAACTCAACTTTTTTTTTGCTCAGACTGTTTTCCCTACTCAGGGATTCTCATGACCTGCTCATAGGCCGATATTACGCCCCGAGTCTGCAGCCAATGTCAGTAGAAATTCCCACATTGGAATTACAAATTTCCAAATTCATGTAGTTTTTGTTATAACCAGTGATAACCAATGTTATGGCTCTGCCACTTGCAAGTCACTGATAACCAGATCAATAAAGAGGACCGAAAAGGCTTTAGTGCTTAGTTTTACACTACATGTATTAAGTTGAATGCAATTTAAAATACCTCTTAATATGAGAAAATAAGAATGTTAACAAAATCCCAATTTTGAAAAAAAAGTATGCCTTTTTATCAGTTTTTCTTCCAAAGGCATCTCATTTGGGATCCTAGATGAATCCCTGCTACTATTTACAACAAAATTACCAAAAGTACCATCAACATAAACCAAATTAAACAAAGCTTGAGATCTGTCAGGAGTATAACACACTCACATACATAAATAATAACCTTCTCTGATGCAAAGATATTGTTTTTATGTGACAGAGCATGAAGAAAGCAAAGCGTAGCTTTGACAGACTTGAGAAGGACAGACTCACACATGTGAGAGATATTTTCCTGGAAACTGTCAAGATTTCAGAGCTTCAAGAAGACCGGTAAGCTGACAGTGTACTGCAGTGTACAGACATAGGTGTTCTTGTATCCAGACCTATAAGACATACCTAGGTCCATGTGCAATAAAAGCAGCAAACAGGGACTGATACTAATAATTTGCTCTGTGGTATAAAAAGATATTTATTTGATCAGTTACTTGATAAGCACAGGTAATATACCTATAGGGAAGCATGCAACAGGACATTTGTATACAGGGAATGGTATTGGGGTTTATTTAGCTACATGTATATATACTTTTCTTGTTAAAATTAGGCATATTTAAACCAGTGCTGGTTATTACTCTGATTATTATGATCCTGTGATATAAGTGCCACCATATCTGTCTTATTAATCTCCCAAAACAGTCAGGGCTTTAGATCTGTGCAAGAAGCACATTTTATTTTTCATATGAAATGAAAATTTAAGCATAACAGATTTTCGAGTAAAAAAATCCAACATTCTAAGTCTTAAGTTTTCAGACTACTAACTTCTTCAAATAATTGTAACAATTAATGTACAGAATGTGAAAGGGCTCCATTTTTAAAAGCCTGTCTTTTCCAATTCCCTGCCCAATGAAGTATGCATTAACCAGAATATCATTTTCTATTCCAGGGGTAGCAGAGAGACATGCACAAATGAGCTGCGCCGCAACCTTGAGAACCTCAAACTGGAGCAGGAGATACTGAAGTATGACAAGGTGTTCCTAAAAGACTATGACATCCCAGCCTACCAGGTACATCTATACATGACACTGTCCCTTCTCCATTCAGGGTGGTCTCTTGTCTTTTCATGCTTGACACTGCTCCTACTCCTGCTCTAGGGTGGACACTGATGTCTATATGCATGGTACTGTTATTAATGCTACCATCACACCAAAGTAGTTCTTTCCCGTTCTACCCTGTTCTAAACATAATACTAGAATGGGCTGTGATCACGGTAGAGCGCGTAGTTTGGCTTAAAATACGATGCTAGTTCGTTCATAAGCAGTCCTCAATACGTCTATCTCGTTCTTAGCCAGTATGTTATCATTATAAGGACTAGTGGGCTTAAACTGTTAGTTTCTATCACTGCTTATGAGTGCACACTCATGCCAACATGCATAACACTGCTCCAGATTGTCTTATGGGGGGACACTGGTGCCAACATGTATGACACTGCTCCAGATTGTCTTATGGGTGCACATTGGTGCCAACATGCATGACACTACTCCAGATTGTCTTATGAGTGCACACTGGTGCCAACATGCATGACACTGCTCCAGATTGTCTTATGGGTGTACACTGGTGCCAACATGCATGACACTGCTCCAGATTGTCTTATGGGGGGACACTGGTGCCCACATGCATGACACTGCTCAAGATTGTCTTATGAGTGCACACTGGTGCCAACATGCATGACACTGCTCCAGATTGTCTTATGGGTGTACACTGGTGCCAACATGCATGACAGTGCTCCAGATTGTCTTATGGGTGGACACTGGTGCCCACATGCATGACACTGCTCTGGATTGTCTAATGGGTGCACACTGGCGCCCACATGCATGACACTGCTCTGGATTGTCTTATGGGTGCACACTGGTGTCAACATGCATGACACTGCTCCAGATTGTCTTATGGGTGTACACTGGTGCCCACATGCATGTCACTGCTCCAGATTGTCTTATGGGGGGACACTGGTGCCAACATGTATGACACTGCTCCAGATTGTCTTATGGGTGCACATTGGTGCCAACATGCATGACACTACTCCAGATTGTCTTATGAGTGCATACTGGTGCCAACATGTATGACACTGCTCCAGATTGTCTTATGGATGGACACTGGTACCCACATGTATGACACTGCTCCAGATTGTCTTATGGATGGGCACTGGTACCCACATGCATGACACTGCTCTAGAGTGTCTTATGGATGGGCACTGGTACCCACATGCATGACACTGCTCCAGATTGTCTTACGGATGGGCACTGGTACCCACATGCATGACACTGCTCCAGATTGTCTTATGGATGGGCACTGGTGTCCACATGCATGACACTGCTCCAGAATGTCTTATGGAACGGCACTGGTACCCACATGCATGACACTGCTCCAGATTGTCTTATGGATGGGCACTGGTACCCACATGCATGACACTGCTCCAGATTGTCTTATGGATGGGCACTGGTGTCAACATGCATGACACTGCTCCAGATTATCTTATGGAACGGCACTGGTACCCACATGCATGACACTGCTCCAGATTGTCTTATGGACGGGCACTGGTACCTACATGCATGACACTGCTCCAGATTGTCTAATGGGTGGACACTGGTGCCAACACGTATGACACTGCTCTAGATTGTCTTATGGGTGCACATTGGTGCCAACATGCATGACACTACTCCAGATTGTCTTATGAGTGCACACTGGTGCCAACATGCATGACACTGCTCCAGATTGTCTTATGGATGGGCACTGGTGTCAACATGCATGACACTGCTCCAGACTGTCTTATGGGTGGACACTGGTACCCACATGTATGACACTGCTCCAGATTGTCTTATGGGTGCACATTGGTGCCAACATGCATGACACTACTCCAAATTGTCTTATGAGTGCACACTGGTGCCAACATGCATGACACTGCTCCAGATTGTCTTATGGGTGTACACTGGTGCCAACATACATGACACTGCTCCAGATTGTCTTATGGGTGGACACTGGTGTCCACATGTATGACACTGCTCCAGATTGTCTTATGGGTGGACACTGGTACCCACATGTATGACACTGCTCCAGATTGTCTTATGGGTGCACACTGGTGCCAACATGCATGACACTGCTCCAGATTGTCTTATGGGTGTACACTGGTGTCCACATGCATGACACTGCTCTGGATTGTCTAATGGCTGCACACTGGTACCCACATGCATGACACTGCTCCAGATTGTCTTATGGGTGCACACTGGTGCCAACATGTATGACACTGCTCCAGATTGTCCTATGGATGGGCACTGGTACCCACATGCATGACACTGCTCCAGATTGTCTTATGGATGGGCACTGGTGTCAATATGCATGACACTGCTCCAGATAGCCTTATGGCAGGAAACTGGTGCCTACATGCATGACACTGCTCCAGATTGTCTTATGGATGGGCACTGGTACCTACATGCATGACACTGCTACAGATTGTCTTATGGATGGGCACTGGTGTCAATATGCATGACACTGCTCCAGATAGCCTTATGGCAGGAAACTGGTGCCTACATGCATGACACTGCTCCAGATTGTCTTATGGATGGGCACTGGTGTCAACATGCATGACACTGTTCCAGATTGTCTTATGGATGGACACTGTCGCCTACATTCATGACACTGTTTCAGAATGCCTTATGGGAACACTGGTGCCAGCATGCATGACACTGCTCCAGATTGCTTTCTGGGAACACTGGTGCCCACATGCATGACACTGTTGCAGATTGTCTTCTGGGAACACTGGTGCCCCCATACATGACACTGATCCACATTCACCCTGATGAATGTCAGGTGAAGAGAAAATTCTTGCATGACCTGCGAAGACCTGGGCTAGAATAGGTCTTCAGCAACCCATGCTTGCCCTGAAAGGCTACTGTGCTTGTAGTAAGAGGCCACTAACAGGATTGGGTAGTCAGGCTTGTTGACTTGGCTGATGCATGTCATTGTATCCAAGTTGTGAAGATCGATGCTCAGGATTTCAATCACTTGATTGTATGGTCAAGACAAGGTTACATGCAGACCGCTGTCATATAGCTGGAATATTGCTGAGCGCGGCTTTGAACAACAAACATCCGTGCACACTCTTCAACTGGAGGCTTGTCTCAGGTTCTAGGTAGAGCTCACAACTGGACATCTTTGAGTTGATCCCTGAAACAAACAGTACAATTGCCAAGAACACTATACAGACAGTTTTGTACAAAGATTTGAGTCTGCTAGACCAAAGTTGTTTTGGGGTATTATTTTCAGTTATTTAGAATTATTATAGTGGCTTTTATCAATTAAACTCGCCATATAAAAAGAAACTCTGACTTGCTACTACAGCTACAGGCAGCTGGGGTCCAACTTGGTGAATAACATAAGCAGTTTGCTCCCTTCCTTTTCATTTGGACAGATAATTTATTTTTCAATTTCTAAGTCCCCAGGCTAATTTTGTGAGGTACATATTCATTTGTCCATGTGTTTGTCCACCATGTGGGATAGTATCACCAGCTTAAAATAGTAAACATTGTCATGGGGTATTACATAAAAATGAGTCATAAGTGTGCCTTATAATTTTTAGCATTAGCAGAGACAATAATGTGGCACCAGGAACTTATTTAAACAGATTTTAATGTGCCAATCTTAATACAAGGACTTTTGAACCCTAAATATGTGACATACCGTATTCGACGTAATAAGCGCCCCGCTATAATAAGGGCCCACAGTGATATTTTCTAATATAATGGCTAGTGAACAATCCCAATTGGCACCCTTCCGATTGATCACTGTACACAAGACTTATTTTTTCGCGTATAATACGCACTCGTGGGTTATATGCACCCTTAATTATGGGCAATTAAATTCTGGGAAAATGTATCTGTCGTACATGCACATTTCAGGCTGTCAGCATAAACCACAAAATTTATCTTTCAACTCTGTTTTTTTTCCACCAAAATAATATTCTAATAAGAGCCCCTTGTTTCTAAATTTTAGAACGCCCTGGGCGCTAATTACGTCGAATACAGTATACAGTGGTGATATCTAGCTGCAAAGTTATGTACTGGTTGTCTACACTCATCTTCCCGAGGCAAGTGTGTCCACTAGCCTGTATCAAAGCCTAGTTGTTACCCTTGCCACATCAATATGTGCGATAGTCCAATCATATTTAGAAAGTGGGCTTGATGTGGCAAGGGTGGAAACAAGACTTTGATAAGGCTAGTGGATGCTCTTGCATTGGGAAGATGGTCTACACCATGTACTGATGTTTGCAAAATAATATTTATAGAATCCCTCTCACTTATGTTTTTATACATAAAGTGTGTTTTAGTCCATAACAAATGAGTTATCAGATTTTCTTCCCACCCAGCTCTCTACTACCAAATACCCTGCCTCACATCATTTTAGTGGCCTTTCATTAAGTACCATCAGGCCATTTGTGCTACATGTGTTCCCTTCTTTATTTATTTGATGAAATCAATTATATACACATAGTCCTTGATGAGAATCACATCCATCAACAATTTATGTTCAAAGATGACTTGAACAGTTTGTTGCAAAAACAAAGTATACAAAATAAAGTGCCTCCAGCTTCAAAATAGAAAGATATAAATTAAATGAAAATGAAATAATTTAGTCTGATCTTATGTTTTAGTTTGTATAAATTTTGTTCCTTGGTTTAATATCTAAAGCAAACATTTATACCAAACAGCACGTCTCCTGCAATTCATAATGGATGCTGCACAGGGGAACTGATTAATCTTTGAATATAGATATGATCACTGGATCATCACTTTTAGGGAATGTGATTCATTTGTTTTTATTAATCTTAGGAGTATGTCCCTCACCAATATGACGAGGAGGAGGAGGAAGAAGAAGTAGGAGAAGAAAGGTCTGATGGAGAGCAGGAACCAGAAATGTGAGCAGGTGTTCTTACATGTTGTAAGAAGTTGGGGGTTTACAGAATCCCTGGTTTCCCCCAATTAGTATACTTATTCAGCTGTGTCACAGGTGAATTTACTTTGGGTATCATATTGAGTATTCAAAATTAAGGGGTCCCTGAAGTCCTTGAGGTTTGCTGCTAAAGTATTTGAATCTAGGGACGCCAAATATTTGATTTTTAACATTAGGGTTATGACAGGACTATGAGATTTTCATGCATAATTTCAAACACTGATATTACTTAACTGCAGTAAGTAATATGACTTTTAATTTTTCTGTATATTTTTTCAAGGCTTATTTCTTCATCACATCACATCATTTACTATTTAATGGAAACTTTCTCTATTACAGCATTGTGGAGACAGCAGTGGAGAGCTGTAAGTATTTATCATGCATAGATCACTACTTGCTAGGGAATCCCAGATTGTTGATAATCTCCCTGATAAATAATACTTGGTGATACTTGTGATTAGACAAAATTTACGATTTTGAAATCGTGTTTAACTGCAAGGTCTGATACATCTATCACAGAAGTTCTGTTGGTTGGAAAGTATGCTTGGGTTTTTCTTTGAATTGTTTAATCCTTCTTAAAACCATACTTACAATGTCCCTGTTACTGCTAAGTAAGGAATACAGCATAACATTTCAGCGCAAACCAGCCTTGAGAGTTGTAAACACTAACCTTATCTTTCAGTGACCACCACGGATCAGCTCCCGAATCGCCAACTTCTGCCACCGCTGCAGCAGCAGTCTATCCCAGTGGTTCAGGACATCCAGGACGACCAGCTCTGGTGGGCACAGATCAGACCCACCAGGAGAACAATTGATCCTCTCACAGCCCCTCCACCCACCACACTCAGGGATGTTGCAACTTCCTTTGTTGAGAGTGAGTAGCCAGCTTATGTCTTTCTGATATAACCCCACAGGTATTTGGGTAAACTGGTCTCCAGTAACTCATGCTTGTTGAAAGAGCTGACACATGAGGATCTGGTGATAGTGATGTGTGATCTGGACCAACTTGCACATGATCATTGTGCTATTGCAGTTGTTACTCCTATGCATAGTTGTAACCAAGATTGCATATTGTTGGTGTGTCATTGTGTCCCCACTGGGTTGTGTTGCTCATGTCATCAACCATTTGTTTGCCTTGCCTCATATTGATTTTTTCACAGGCCATTGTGTATTAAGTGGAATGATATGTGGTGTATCCACTGTCTGATATATCACACGTATTGGACAGGCTCTTTCAGAATATGGGTGCAGAATAGTAAAAATGCATATTACTTATATTGAAGCTGCAGTACTTTTAATACTGTATTGTTTGATCAGCAAAAAGAGACGCTTTTATTTATTCAATTGTTTGCTATGTTACCCTGATGGCATGGTTTGACACTCACATTTTGACCACTACATAGCACCCGTGAGCTGTAGCTACTGCATCTTCCCAAGGCAAGGGCGTTAACTGACTATGAAAGTCCAGTCTCTACCCTTGCCGAACTAGGCTGGAATTTCCAGGCTTGATCGTTGCGCCACCAGTGGCTATTACTAGTTATGTCCCTTCTATGTCCCATCTATTGACCAATCAGATTCCACCTCTTATATAACTTGCATTTGCTGCAAACAAAATGGTGATGCCCAGTCAAGACAATCTGATCGATAATCAAGATCCATATTGTAATAAAACGGGCCTTACCCCGTGAAATGCATCAAATCACTTAGCACCTTGATTAAAATCATGAAAAGATTTGCAATGATTTGTCGATGCACAGTTTGCGGTACACATGCTTTGCAAATCATGCAATTGACTGAAATCTGGACATTGAAATCCACATTGTTTACGAAGCAGATGTCTAGTTTGTTACATGATTTTGATTGGACCATGCATAGACTCGTTAGTCTAGGCAAAATGTAACTCAGGAATTCCAGCCTAGTTCGGCAAGGGTGGCAACTGGACTTCAATCGTCAGTTAACTCCTTTGCCTTGGGAAGACGCGGCTACTTGAAATCTTTGTAAAAAAATTGTGCTATTTCCATGTTTTTTTCTTGATATTCCAGAGAAACTGAAACATCACAATAAGTCACCTGAACCATCCTCCAGCGAGGACGAACATGTTCCCTTCTATGCTCCTGGTGGAACATCTAACATGACAAATGTGAGAGTCAAGGTCATTCGAGAACACGGTGGAAGGGGTCCAAAAGATCTGCCTAAACTCAGAATTGGTATGAATCCTTTTATTTATTGTTTCAGTTTTACTGCTGTTGACATGTGCACAGCAAATAAAACCCTCTCCAGCACGTTTCACAAGCACCTTGCATAATCCATTTATTTGTGATTGATTGATTGTTTGATTGTTTAATTATTGGTTCAGATGTTTTAAGTTTGTGGGATAGCAATGGTTAACATGTTCCCTTAAGTGGACTTCCCAGTTTTCATTCCCTAGGTCAGTACAAAATGTGAAGCTAGTTCTTAGTGTCCCAACCTGATATTGCTGGAACATCATGCATTTTTTTGGCTAACCTGACTGAAAGTCGAGTGGGCTGTGTCAAGGCCTTTTCCACAGTAACCACTGGACCAATGAAACTGAGACTTCACATGCTTGTTCCCACCAATGATGATAGCATCATCACGTTTTAAGTTTGTGGGATAGCAATTGTTAACATGTTCACTTAAGTGGACTTCCCAGTTTTCATTCCCAAGGTCAGCATCATCATTGGTCATATTAAAAAAAGGGCTATCAATGGCTGTTACTCAGGCATTTTATTTTCAAAGTGGAATTAAATTTGGTACATGTCTATTTAGTAGTGGGGCTCATCATATATCATGATATATGTTCCGTTTTTTGGCAATTTTGACAATTGTGACCTTGATTGACCTTTGCACTTTAATAATATTTCAAGTTGAAACTTCTTGTGGCCATTACACAGCTATTTTGTTCAAAACGTAATTAAATGTTGTATAAGTGTGCAATGGAGATCAACACATATTGTGTTTTTCACAATGTTTTAAATTTTCACCTTTATTTGACACTTCAACAATGCTCCTAAATACTCTCAAAATACATTTCCACTTCCTGTAAACATCTCCTCAGAAACCATCAGACCAATGAAGCTGAAATTTTACATGCTTGTTCCAAATGATATCTTCTCAATTTGTTCAAGAGATTTGTTTTGCTATATGTAATTTTGTCCTTGTTTAAACCTGCTCTCAAAAGGCTCAGTAAACTTCTTCTCTTGCCATCATGAGGGAGCTGAACTTGTTCGAAGTCATTAGATTTTAGTGTTTGATATTTGTCCTCAGTATTTATGCTGTATCATTTTGAATATCAAATTTTAAGTGTCTGTCTTTGTTGACATTTTAAACTGTTGACAACATATCTAGGTGAGCTACATTGCCATGGCTCTATTTTTATTCAGGTCAGACGATCAAGCAGAAGACTGTAGCCAATGAACATGGCATGGCCTATGGATGGAGACGATCCAAACTCACTGGGCGTAAGAAGTATGGCATGTTCCCTGTTGAATGCACTGAGCTCAAGCCAAAGTCGAAATTCTCTGACCACATCTTTGCCATTACTCGCAGAAACTAGTAACTTTCCTATCTCTGCAAGAAACTGAATATGCGTTTTGAAAGAAATCTTAACCATTGGAATACCTTTTAGGCTACAGCATATCAATATTTTCTTTATTGTAAATTTAAATTAAGACTGAAATTATTTTATAACTCTTAAGACGGTAAGCTGAAGTGTTTTTGAAACTAAACCATTAACCCAAGTAAGTGGGGAGGATTTCATTTGAAATTTTGTAAATTTATTCTTTTAGACATTTTGCTGATACATACTGTAGTTTTATGGATAATTGTGTGATATTTATATACTTTGATGCTTTGATATTTTATGTCTTTATTTCAGTGTTTATTGTTTGATATTGATGTAATACAATTTGATATATATATTCTAACTGTTTCCGATCACCAGTGTTGAGAAAACCAGGCCAGTCCCCTACCAGTATGTTAAATCTGTTTGTAATGTAAGAGTTAGCTTTACATTACATCATTTTAATTTCTATTCAGTTTCAGTGTGTGGACTTGTATGGGAGACCTTGTTCAGTAATGAGATAACATAGGTACCCTGGCTATTTGCATCAGTAATGAGATTACATAGGTGAGCTGGCTATTAATACGATTATGAGATTGCATAGATAAGCTGGCTATTAATACGAGTAATGAGATAAAATAGGTGAGCTGGCTATTTACATGAGTAACAAGCTTACAAAGATGACCTGGCTATTTACGTGAGTAACGAGATCACATAGGTCACCGGGCTATTTACACGAGTGTTGAGGTTACATAGGTGACCTGGCTATTTACATGAGGAACGCGATTACAAAGGTATCCTGGCTATTTACATGAGTGATGAGGTTACATAGGTGACCTGACTATTTACATGAGGAACGAGATTACAAAGGTATCCTGGCTATTTACATGAGTGATGAGGTTACATATGTGACCTGACTATTTACATGAGGAACGAGATTACAAAGGTATCCTGGCTATTTACATGAGTGATGAGGTTACATAGGTGACCTGACTATTTACATGAGGAAAGAGATTACAAAGGTATCCTGGCTATTTCATGAGGTTACAGAGCTGACCTGACTATTTACATGAGGAAAGAGATTACAAAGGTATCCTGGCTATTTACATGAGTGATGAGGTTACATAGGTGTCCTGACTATTTACATGAGGAATGAGATTTCAAAGGTATCCTGGCTATTTACATGAGTGATGAGGTTACAAAGGTATCCTGGCTATTGACATGAGTGATGAGGTTACATAGGTGACCTGACTATTTACATGAGGAATGAGATTTCAAAGGTATCCTGGCTATTTACATGAGTGATGAGGTTACAAAGGTATCCTGGCTATTTACATGAGTGATGAGGTTACAAAGGTATCCTGACTATTAACATGAGGAACAAGATTACAAAGGTATCCTGGCTATTTCATGAGGTTACAGAGGTGACCTGACTATTTACATGAGGAACGAGATTACAAAGGTATCCTGGCTATTTACATGAGTAATGAGGTTACAGAGGTACTCTGGCTATTTACATGAGTAATGAGGTTACAGAGGTGACCTGGCTATTAATACAAGTAGTGAAATTACAAAGCTACCCTAGCTTTTACATGAGTAATGAGGTTACATAGTTGACCTGGCTATTTACATGAGTAATGAGGTTACAGAGGTACTCTGGCTATTTACATGAGTAATGAGGTTACAGAGGTGACCTGGCTATTAATACAAGTAGTGAAATTACAAAGCTACCCTAGCTTTTACATGAGTAATGAGGTTACATAGTTGACCTGGCTATTTACATGAGTAATGAGGTTACAGAGGTACTCTGGCTATTTACATGAGTAATAAGATTACATAGTTGACCTGGCTATTTAAACGAGTAATGAGGTTACATAGTTGACCTAGCTATTTACATGAGTAATGAGGTTACAACAGTGACCTGGCTACATGAGTGACTGCCATAGTAACTTTCAAATGGTACCTGCCAGAGAAGTATTTTTTTCTGCCACAGAACTGTTACCTTTTAGATAATCCCTTCTTTCAAATTTCGAAACCCTCTATCCAACTTCTGTCTGCCATAGAACTTTTCTTTTAGATAATCCTTTCTTTCAAATTTCGAAAATCATCTATCAAACTTCTATCTGCCACAGAGCTGTTTCCCTTTAGAATATCCTTTCTGTCATATTTCTTATGTACCCTTTTCACCTTATATTTGTTGAGGGCTATTTCAAAAGTAATCTATCGAAGTTTTGTCTGCCACAAATGTTTCCAAATGATGTTTCCTTTTAGATAGTTATTTCTTTCAACTTTCTAAAGTCATCTATCCAACTTCAGCCTCCCATAGGACAGTTTCCATTCAGATAATACTTTCTCTTAAATATCTAATTTGTTAACTACTATTTTCATCTTATTTTTGTACTGGACTTTTTGTGTTAGGCAATTCTTTCTTTAAAATGTCAAATTCATCTATTCAAATTGTGTCCCTAACAGAACTGTTTCTTTTAAGTAATTGATTCTATCAAATTTCAGTAATCATCTATCAAACTTCTGTCTGCCATGTGACTGTTTCTTTTAAATAACACTTTCTTTCAAATTTCTAACTCTCTACTCTTTCCACCCTTTTTTTTTGTACTTATTATCAAACCCATGCAAGGTCTTTAGTAGCTATCTTTTGAAACATCATAACTACTGTCTCCAAATTTTGTATGCCACATACTTCCCTGTGGATTTTATATTTTTCAAGGTAACTTAACCTATTCATCTGACTATTGAAAGGCCTTGAGATATCTGATATTTTAGATTTTCTAACCTTGCTCTCTGTCACATATTGAAGCCGGCACAAACATAGATTCAGTTTTTAGAAATGTATTTCCTCCATTAAGATATGTTTAAACCCCACGAACTTAACCTCTATTCTTAGGCTCCTAGCTTACTTTTTACAATTACTAATATCTCACTACTAACACTTACGTTTTTACTAATATTCTACTAACAATATATTTTTACTAATATTCTACTAACAATATATTTTTACTAATATTCTACTAACAATATATTTTTACTAATATTCTACTAACAATATATTTTTACTAATATTCTACTAACAATATATTTTTTACTAATATTCTACTAACAATACTACTACTAATATTCTACTAACAATACTACTACTAATATTCTACTAATAACATTACTGTTATTACTACTTATATGCTACTAACAATACTACCACTACTAATATTCTACTAATTACAATACTACTAACTAGCCACAGAACTCATTCTTTTAGATTATTCCTTCTCACAAAATTTGTAAACTGCCACACTAGCTTCTACCTGCCACAAAACTCGCTTTTAAATTATTTTCATATCAAATTTTCTCATATGAATTCTATTACTTTTGAAAGTCTATTCTCTTACATTTGCAAGTCACAGAATTTAGTGTTTTAGCTCTAGCAAGTTCTTTAATAACCCTATTTTATTTTTAAATTTCTAAAATTCTCTTTTTTATCATGTGTACAAGTTAAATACTAGTAACATTCTTTCTTTCCAGTTTTGCAACTTTGATCTGACACAGCAGTTTTTCTTTTTTAAAATTAATTCTGTAATAATTTCGAAGCTACTCTCCAACCTTTGCCCATCACGGTGGGATTTCTTTTAGATTAATACTTAACTTCTAAACTACTCTCTGTAACACTTACAAGCCACAAAATGTTTTTGTTTCTGTTCTCAGAACTCTAAATTTCATAAGTCTTATTTAAGCTTTGCAAGTCTCATAACCATGATCACTGTTTCCTTTTGATAATTTTCTCTATTAAATACTCCCAGCTATTGTTCACCTGATTCAGAACTGTGTTGTTTGAGTCACTGCAAGATTTATATTTTGTAAATTGCAAGCCATCATACTTTTATATTTTGTTTATTATGTTTTATTTTCTGATGCTGTGGTGCTGGCAAGTCACAGAATGCATATGGTTACTGTTAGATGTCTTTTATGCTAAGACCTCTTTCTGCCCTCTACTTGCACAATTGTTATGTTTATGAATATTTCTTAATTGTTATGATGATTGTATCTCAGTAACAAATGTATGTATTCTAAACCAAGGGACTTCAAGCTTATTGGTCTCTAGAAAGTTGGTGTTTTAGAGATTTTGTGCTCTTCATAAATCCTTTGCAACTTTCCTTATAGTGAACATATCATTATAACAGTCTTTGTTATGAAATTATCTAGCAGTAACTAGAAACCTTAGTGGTACATGTAGTTACAGTAATTAACAAAGCATTGTTGTGGTCATAGTAAAAATAGCAACATTAGTATAATTAAAATAGGAATAATAATAACAATAATAATACAGCAATAATAATAGGAATAATACATTAATATCATGAACATAATAAAAGGAACCAACTACAATTTCAACACTCGTCTTCGTGTAATTTTCAAAGATTTTACAACTTGTCTTTTTGCTTTGTGCACTGCCTGCAATATTGGGCAAGGAAACAAAGCTATTTGCTCTTCTTTTCCACTTGTGGTTTCAAGTGCTTCTTGGCAAATGAAACAGTGACAAGAGTTTGTACAAGACCTGATTCTTGCTGCATACTACATCTCTTACGTTACTTGTGTTATCTGCCTAGATTTCACAACTTTTGTCACTTCGTCATATTGCTTTGTGCAAGGAAGCACAACTATTTCCTCTTCTTTTCCATTTGTCTTTGGTTTCAAGTGCCCCTAGCAAGTGAAACATTGACAAGAGTTTTGTGCCAAACCTGATTCTGTGCTACTTACAACATCTCTTGTGTTATCTGCCTTGATGTCACAACTTTTGTCAAGTTGTATCTTTGCTTTGTGCAATGACCACAATACTGGGCAAGGAAGCACATCTGTTTGCTCTTCTGCACTTGTCTTTGGTATTAAGTGCCCCTCGGCAAGTGAAACAGTAACTAGAGTATTGTAAAGAAATGATTCTTTGCAGCTAAGTATATTCATAGTTGTGTGATATTCATAGATTGTACGTTTTTCATCATTTTGTCATATTGCATTGTGTATTGTCCACAATGTTAAGACCTAAGTAGATAGTGCTTCAGTAAATTGTGTAATGGTATTCTTTGAAATGATATTTTAGGACCTCAAATTTATGGTAGCTCAGCTAAAAGTAGTGAAATCAAACACTCTCAATTGGCATACCAATGTGATGATGTGCTCTTAAACCATCATTGATTTTATGCCTTTGATGGTTGATCGGCGAAAATTGTATTAGAATAAATGGTCTTATTTGGCATAGTAATCTAGGAGTATCCTCGAAAGTCCAAGAGTGTTTTGTGAAAATAAGATTGATAGTAGCTCAGCTTAAAGTATTAACCTCTACTTTTGTTTTGCATACTAATTTGGTGGTGTCCTCTTAAACCATCATCTGTATTAGACCTTAGATTGATGGTAGCTCAGACAAAGCATTATTGGAAGAAATCATCTTATTTAGCACAGAGAGATTTGAGACCGTAAATAGATACTAGTTGTGGTATCCTCTGAAAATGAGAAATGTTTGAATCATTAATGGTAGCTCAGCCAATGGTATTGAATTCAAACATCTCATTTGGTGAAGTAGTTAAAATATGGCTGTGCTTAATTTATTGCAATCAAATATGTCATTCGGCATTCGGTAAATATGAAATTGATGATTTCATTTTGCACATTAATTTGATTGCATCCTAAAGCCAAGATAATTTTTAGACCTATTTTTTTATGGTCTCAGCATTATGGTATGGTACATTTCTTATTACGGCATACTAATTTTGCTAATTTTATTGAAATTGATTATCTCTTTTGGCATATTCATTTGCTTGTATCACCAAACAAGAGATGTTTTAGACCTGTCATTAATGGTAGGCCAGGTAATGGTATTGAATTGAAACATTTACTTATTTGGCATACTAATTTAATGGTATCACAAAACCAAGAGGATATTTAAACGTAATATTTGTGGAGGCTTTTCTAATTCTATTGAAATCGATGATATCATTTGGTATAAACAGTTGGTTGCATCCTAAAACCAAGAGAATTTTTAGACCTATTACTCCATGGTAGTCCGGGTTATGATATTGAATTGAAACATTTACTCATGTGGCATACAAATTTGGTGATATCAAACCCACAGTGTTTTCAGACCTAATATAATGTATGGTGGCTTTTCTAATTCTATTGAGATGGAATATCTCATATGGCATATTACTTTCATTGTATCCTAACACCAAGAGAGAAATTAGACCTATTGTTGATGGTGGGTTAGCTCATGGTATTGAATTGAAACATTTACTCATGTGGCATACAAATTTGGTGATATCAAACCCACAGTGTTTTCAGACCTAATATAATGTATGGTGGCTTTTCTCATTCTATTGAAATGGATTATCTCATTTGGCATATGACTTTCGTTGTATCCTAACACCAAGAGAGAACCTCGACCTACATGAATTATTGATGGTAGGCAAAGTTATGGTATTGATTTGTTGGAATCATAAACAAGAGTATTTTTTAAATGTAATGTTTATGGCAGCTTTTCTAATTCTATTAAAATCGATGATATCATTTGGTATAAACATGTGGTTGTATCCTAAAACTAAGAGAGTGGTTAGACCTATTATTGATGGTGGCTTTGCATATGGTATAGAATTCAAACATTTACTCATTCCACATTCAAATTTGGTGGTATAAAACCAAGAGTGTTTTTAGGTCTTATATTCATGGTGGCTTTGCTAATTTTATTGAAATTGATTATCTCTTTTGGCATATTCATTTGGTTGTATCACCAAACAAGAGATGTTTTAGACCTGTCATTGATGGTAGGCAAAGTATAATGGTATTGAATTGAAACATTTACTTATTTGGCATACTAATTTAAAGGTATCATAAAACCAAGAGGATATTTAAACGTAATATTTGTGGTGGCTTTTCTAATTCTATTGAAATCGATGATATCATTTGGCATAAACAGTTGGTTGCATCCTAAAACCAAGAGAATTTTTAGACCTATTACTCAATAGTTGTCCAGGTTATGGTACTGAATTGAAACATTTACTCATGTGGCATACAAATTTGGTGATATCAAACCCACAGTGTTTTCAGACCTAATATAATGTATGGTGGCTTTTCTAATTCTATTGAGATGGAATATCTCATATGGCATATTACTTTCGTTGTATCCTAACACCAAGAGAGAAATTAGACCTATTGTTGATGGTGGGTTAGCTCATGGTATTGAATTGAAAACATTTACTCATATGGCATACAAATTTGGTGATATCAAAC